GAAAAAAAATTTTTTTTTTTTTTTTTTTTTTTTTTTTAAATCACAGCTGCTTGTTTCAGGGCACTGGGTCACTAATTGAGTGCAAGCTTTATAAATGTTGTTTGTCCTTCCCCCGCAGGGCATATAAAACCATTGAGGAAGATGACTTGAAGTTTCCCCTTATATACGGAGAAGGCAAGAAGGTGGGCACGTTTGCTTTCCTCAGACCAAAAGAAAAAGGAATTCTGTGCTGTTTACCACTCGATTTAGCCTGTGGCAGTCCAGTGTTTTCCACTCAGTATCTCTTTATTTTATCGTTTTGACAGCTTGAAAGAATATCTTGGTTTTGTCATAAATCAGTCTCATGTCTAGGGGGCGGCGGGGGGAGTGCAACATACTAAAAAGCATTTTTATAGCAAACATAGTCATTTGCTGTTCGGTTTGCTTTTGTTTTTCTTTCATTGTAAGTAGGCTACAATGAGACCATCTTAAATAATTGACTTAAAATGTTCCTGGTTTCATTGTAAAATATAAGTAGGCTGGATGAAGATAGCAAAATACCTCATGTTTGCTGAAAACAAAGCAGAAGGATATTTAATAGCATTTTAGAGTGCTCTGAGATGCAACCCCCTAATTTAGGAAGGGGAGGGATCAGAGCAGGATTTGGGAAGTATAACACTCCTTAATTGTATCTTCTTCAGCTAGTGTATGTGAACTCATTGGATTTTTCTGATGTGTGAATGCTGATAGTTTTTCTTGAAAGGGAGAAACGAACTGTTCTGTTTGGGTGTACTTTGTTTCCAGCTCTGTGATTAAGAACAGTGAGATCATTAGTGCTGATCCCAGCAAGCTTAGCTGCATGCAGCAATAGGATCAATATAAGGACGCAGTGGTGTCAGTTTGCCGATATTGGTATGCTCACTGTGTTTCTAAATAGTGCTCCCCTGCTGCATTAGGTTCTTATCTCAATGCAAAAATACATGCTTTTCAAAATTAGTCCAAGTTTTGAAGGTTCAGACTTGCAGCTTATCTCTGAATTTGGTTAGGTTTATAATTATTTGCAAAACGTTTCATGCACATCTTTTTAATTTACTTTCTTATTGCCTTATGGAGCCAGGGGTTAGTGAGGCAAAATAATTTTGAGTCAGTTGCTTGTTGTTATTGATGCTGTGAGCTCTCTTGTTCAGAAGCTGCTGCGGCTGAACTAGAGTTTGGGGGAAGCGATATGCAGAGAGCGAGGTTCCCCATGAGGCAGTCTGCCAGCTCAGTCTTTGGAGAAGTGTTAATGAAGAAGAGCCCAGCACCTCTTGGGAAACAGCTCATGTCGCAGGGGAAGGTGCCTGGGGAAGGAAGCGGTAGATCTGAGGTAACAGCAGACCTGCCCTGGACTGGCTCTCCACAGAGGAGAGCACTGTGGTCGGTGCCACCATCACCTATGTGTTCAGCAATTTAAGGTGGCCTTTGGCACTCTTCCTTGGTGGAGGGAATATAGGGCAATACGTCAACAGGAAGAGGCCACGGGTTTCTTAGCTGAGTAATCGGGCTCCTCGCCCTTTTTATAAAACCTGTTTGCTGACAGTATAATTTGCTGAAGGAATGCTCTTGTAGACTGGCGTGGGACAGCAAGGTGACTGGGTTGGGTTTCCATAGTCCCAGTCCCTTACAGGTCGCCATAGTCTAAGATGGGTGTATACAGACTGGGATGTGGACAAATAGAAAGCTTGGAATAATGAGAGAAATGGAGATGATGTGAGTGTGAAAAGCTTAGAATTTGATTAGCTGTGTTTAAATCTAGTGTTTCTGGGAGAAAAAAGGGAATTCATCCCTAACTGTAGCAGTTATGGTGTAGGAATGTTATCTCATTCCCTATTGACACAGTGCAAGTAACAAGATTTGATCCCGTCGCTTTTCTTTACTTCCAGGCTCGAGTTATGGCAACAATTGGAGTGACCCGAGGACTGGGAGACCATGACCTGAAAGTGCACGACTCCAATATATACATCAAACCTTTCCTGTCCTCATCTCCCGAGGTAAAACAGCCAAGGTTCAACTATCTGATTTGTGGGAGAGAAACAAACACACTTAGGGTGCTTATTCGTTCTTCCCAAATTGTCCATTCTGATTGTGGTCCAATCCAGGTAACGTGCTGCCTTTCCCAAAGGTGCAGCATGTTAGTAACATCCACATAGTAGGAACATTATGAGTTCCCCACCTGTATGCTCTGCCTCTGGTTGCTCCAGATCCCTGGCAGAGCATTGATGCCTTCTCACTCCAGTCTATGATTACCCTGTAGCCTTGCCATTCGGTGTAACAGACGCCCATCTCTCCCCACCTTCTCGTATTCCACTTCCCCTTGAGGCCTAGATCGTGCTGCCTTCACAAAGCTGATGTAAATCTGTGTTCTCCAGAAGAAAGCACTGGATGTTTTCCACGGTAGCATAGTACCCTGCATTACACAGAGGATACCAGATCAACTCTTAAGCAGGAAAATGCTTCGAGCGAGTGGAAGAGTGCTTTATGCTTCTATCTGTCTGCCCCTTCACCTCCAGTTCTTAATTCTGTGTGATGGTTTTGTGCAAACACCAAATAATGGCAGGAATGGCAGTGTGCATTCCCAAATGATGGCATAACGAGGGGATTATGCAGTATTTGTGTTAGGGGTAGTTTTAGATGCCTCCATCATTTTGACTTGCCTCGCCACAAACCATTCCAGTTTTTGACCACCAGAGACATTGTAGTGAAGGATATCAAGCCTTCCAAAGGGATTTGAATGTATTTGTTAACAAGAAATATGCAGACCTTGCTTTTTTTTTTTCCTCTAACTGCATTCCTGTTCCTACATCAAGGAACAGATGACACATAAAAATATTAAGCAAGGGCAAACCATCCAATGACAGCACAAAAAGAGGAGGCTTTGCTTCCATGGCCCAAATGCTGAGAGCCGTCCACTGTCAACTGGCTTGCTGGGGTTTTAACCATACCCAGTATTTGACCTTGAATTTATTGCTTGCTATAGCACTGTGAGAGAATGAAAACACACAAATCACATAATACTGCTAGGAAGGAACCAAATTATTAAATTAACCTTGCCTAGAACATCTTTGAGACTTCAAAAATAAAAATTTAAAAAGTGCCGAGAGATTCTGGCCCTGGAGAAAAAGAGGAGATCTACAGACAGCCCCTTCTTCACATTTCCTTGCTGCCAATCCAGTACCTTCCCTCTCCCCTCTTTGAATGTGTGGTATCCCTCACTTGCGACCTGCTGCTGTTCTCCTCAGCCAGGCAGGCAGCAGCTCTGCCCTCATCACTGTGATGGATTTGTTTAGTGCGAGTGAAATGATGCAATTCTGCCTATTTATTTTTCTTCTGGCATGCTGAGACCCAGTGTTTCTGGGGTATGTAATGGCTGCAGCACAGTATCTCAGCAGTATCATCTCTGCCAATTGCTGCTGCAGTATTTGTCTGTGTGTATAAACCAAAGCTTCTCATGGGCTTTTCTGATTTGTGTGGAGTGTCTGTACGTGTTCAAATTCTGGAATATGACATCCAGTTCATATGCTACCCACATTTCAGGATCTCTTAACTGCTTTGCAAAAGGGAAGCAAAATTGGCTTTGTTTCCACATTCCCTTCACAGCTAAATTCAGCAGAAATCTACAAGGGCAGGAGGAGGAAAGACGGAGCACTAGCCACCTCAATTTAGAGATACTGGCAAAAAAAAAGCCCTGAATTTTATTAGGAAGTAACATATGCTTCAACTTGCTTTCCATTGCATCTCGTTCTCTTAATCATCTCTTCCTTCTCTTCCCAGAGAGAGCCTGAGTGCTTTATCTTCTCGTGTTTTATCTTCTCGTGTTTTACCCTGACTTTTCTGTCCATACGTGGACAGTGCACCTTGCACAGAAACCGGCATTAAGAAACTTCTTTATGCTGCCATCTGGGAAGCTTGGCACTTGGAAGTAAAGGCAGTGGCGTCAAGCAGCAGTCATATTTGGCCCTTGTGCAGCATTGGATTTCAAATTGTTTATATAGAGGTAGGGAAGCACAATGTCTGGTTTCCAGACCTGGAAAGGGGAGGCACAGGAAATTAAGGCGCACAGTGAGTTGTGACAGAGGGAGGATCCAAGTCCTCTGGCTTCTATTTCTGTGCTGTAATTAGATCGTCCTTTCCCAAGTTGGGGGGCAATGTGGTGAGTTTTCAGAACATTTTACTCCCAGCGTGACAAAGCTCTGGTATGCCATGTCCACCAAAATTTACCTGAAGGAAAGGTAAGCCTACCTGAGACTCCATCCTGAAATAGGCATATAAAAGTAATTGCCTTTGGTGGTGTGAAATCATACTTTGATAGAGTGCCAGGCTATGGGAGGAGAAGTCATGTAGCCAAGACTGACAAATGTAATCAGGATTCAGTGGCTCAGCTGTTACAAGACCAGATTTGGAGGACTTCTGCAGGTTGGTGAGCTCTAGAGAATTGAGCCTTTTATAATGAACTGGAGTAGCACAAAGCAGGCAAGCCATGGCTGAGGCTCTCTGGCATGGAATTAAATATTTATTTTTCATAATGGAACAGTTCATCAGCAAGATCCGCCTTGGTGCAGCTGAAAAGCAGAATTTCATCCTGAGATTTTTCAAATGGCAGCTCAGCCGTTTGGTGGGAGAGGTGTGGCTCTGACGGCAGCATTTGGCCCTTGCCAGCGATGAACCTGAAGCCAGCCGCCACAGCAAATGGTGAGAAGGTAACGCTGGAGAATTTTCCCCCTTCTATTATCTTAGTAAAATCTTTCTGACAACTCCACAAATACGTCAGAGGAGACCATTTTAGATTCACATCTGCCTTCTGGAGAAGTCTTTAGGAATTACAGCGTTTAAAGGAAGAAGCGAGGCAAATACTTAGAGAAGTACTGCTTGATTAAAGGGTGTCAAGGTGGTTTCAAGAAGCAAACATCATGCTTGTAGCTTGAAGTCCTTCAGGGTTATGTCTACCAGAGAATTTAAAAAAAAAAAAAAAAAGGCAGTAGATGGTCTTGCATGAGCACTTTGATTTCTCAGAAAATGTTTGAGAAGCTGTTCTGCATCACAGGTTATTAATATAAAAGATATGAAGCTATAGACTAAGTGGAAAGTTGGCACAGTCTACTGGAAATTGGCTAAAGGGCAGGAAACAAAGGGTGGCAGTAAAAAGCTAAAAGGAGATTAATTGGTGAGTGCTGCAGGGAGCAGTGTTGGGACCCGCTTTTTATTATTTACATATAAATTACTTGGAGGGTGGTATTGAAAGATCTCATCGTTTGCCAGCAAAGCTGTGCTGGATAACACTGCGCATAAAAAGGGACGATACAATTAAGAAAGGGCTTAATTTATTGAAGTAGCTGAGTTGATCAATAGTGCAGGCGAGTGAATGCGGGCTGTTGTTTGGCTCGAATTCCCCTGGGGCCGGCTGCTGAGGAGCACCTCAGGTGGCTGCAGGCTCGTGTGTCACTCTGTTGTGAGCGGTTTGCAAGCCGCAGGGACTCGCATTGGCTGCCTCTTAAAAACAAACCTGGCAAACAAGCTGCAGCGCCTTCGCAGAGCTGCTGTGGTCCTTTTCAGCAGCCGAACGCAGGTTTTGTCCAGTGGGTAGATCTATTTGAAATGTAAATATAAAACCAGCCCACCTGTTTGTTCGTTGCTTGCCCAGAGCATTTTTCTCAGCGCTCTTGACTGCATGTAGGTGAGCAATATGAGAAACAAATATCTGGATTGAAGAAAGGTGTTATCTGACAAACTGCATAACACATGTTCAGAAAGATGTCATGTGTGACTATGGGCTCTAGCAGTGTGTATCCTCTGGTACCTATCAGCAGAGATCTGTAAGTACCAGTCAGGGTAAAATATAGCGTAACCCAACTCTTACTGTCATGGATGTTTGTGCTGCTGAGGTGGTGCTGCTTCCTCATTGTTGGCTTTTTACATTTTCTGGTTACTAAAGTCAAGTTTAGGTAGCTAACAGATCAGCTGCTCCAAGTCAAGTAAGACATCAGCAGATGGTAGAAGTATGGTGACCAAACCAGGCTCCTTCGAGGGGTGCCCTGATGCTCCATAGAGATGTTAGAGGGAGGAGGTTTGCCAGGGCAGCACAGAAGGGGCCGGGAAGCTGGGGGGAGTTGGTGGCAAGGCTCTCGGGATAGCACGGGAGGCAGAGAACAGAGCAATGAGCTGCTTTCAGTCACGTAAGATTTACAGGGCTGTGGGGTTGCTTGCCATTGCAGACACTTAAGTCCCTGGATCTCTGCTTATCGTTTCAAAACTCTGGCGTATCGCACTCCCTTGCCTTTTTTGTACAGCATGTGTGGAGTATACTGTGGGGCGTTGCACAACGTGGGGTGTGCAGAGTGGATGTTCAGCGAGTCCTGCTGGTCTGAGCATCCATTACACGCGCCCTGGTGTGCTGCCCAACCTGTGTGCCTCCAGGAGCTCTGCTGTCACGCTGCTCCATGTCCAGCTGCAGGCACGTGTCGTTACTGCAAGAGACCCTCATTGACCCAAGTAAGAACTAGAACAAAGCTGCTAGCAGAAAAGTGAAAGGTTAGGAGCTGGCTTGTTTCTGCACCTGGGCAAGGCGGTCTGTGAGCATAACCTGAGCCTACAATAGGCTGAACAGCTCTAAATTAACTCATTTTTGTCAGCAATGTACTGGGGGCACCTACAGCTGTATTTTAGAAATCCAAGGAAAGACAGAAAGAGCGAGCTTAAGAAAAAATTAAGTACTATGTGGACATGGCTGCCCTAATGTGTTGCTGCTGTGGTAACTGGAAGGCAGACAAAGCTGCATTTCAGTGAACATTTTGTTGCATGTCCAACTGGTCCTTGTATACAAGGATCTTACCTGAAGTTGCCCCAAGCTTGCCTCCTGTATCCTTGGCACTCTCTCTTTCTTAGCCTGGGTACCAGCCTAGCATCCATTATTGCTCACCCCACTGCCCTTCTCTGCACCTCTTCCCACATGTAGTTCCTTCTCAATTGCAGTCCTTTCTGGAGGTGCTCAGTTCACAAAGTTTTTGCTTTTAGGAACTACCTTGTTCCCAGATTACCCATAAAATCAGCGATGGCATTTTTTTTTCTTTTCCCCAAAACCTAAACGTGTTCTTGGTAAAACGGTCTGCTCTTGGTGTTGCTCTAGCATTGTGCTACACCAAGGATTTGGACCTTTTGACCTGTGGATTGGCTGCAGGTAGCTTTGACAAGTTTCGTACCTGCCCCAGTGCTGTTCCCCAGTCAGACAAGATTGTTCATTTCAGGAGGATTGAAATCAGTGGTTCTTGGTTTCCTGCAAAAAAAGGCTCTTGTGGTGTAATGTGTACTTCACCTAGGTGGGAGAGCCATGGTAGGTGTGTTTTTCCTAGTGGTGACGTTCAAGCTTGGTTATTCCTACGAGGGGCTTGCTACTGAGCACGTCCCTGAGCATTAACCCCGATGCTCTCTCAAATATTTGCCCGTACCCAAGAGATCTGATGAGAACACGTGGTGCTTATTGATGGCTGTGTTGGCCAACTTACCCCCTACACCCCAATGATTTCCAAGTTGAAACCCTGGGCTGTTATAGGCTGAATTAAATTTTGCGGAATGGGGACTATGACAGCTACTGGTTTCTGCGCAGTGGGCTTGAGAGGAGAGCTGTGCCGCATGTAAGGATCTTTTCTGTAACAATATTCCCACTCAATCTGAATAAGGAGATATGCTCTAATGAAGAGAGTATCTTGCCTTGACTTTAATCCTCTCCAAAGTCCTTATTCAGCTGCTACCTTAGATAATGAAGTGAAGGTTACATTTTACAAATGACCTTCTTGTGCTTTTGAGTGAAAGGCGAGCAAGTAAGGATTAGCAGTCAGGTCTAGGTGATTTTTTTTTTTTATTTTTTTTTTTCTTTCCTCCGGTACTGGTTGCAGTCCCATAAAATCATAATTACATTAAAAGGTCCAGGCATTTTATGTGCGTTGCCTGCTCCATGGCTCCTAAGGGGAGAATGCACCAGGAGGGAGAATAAAACAGCTCATATTTTCTAGTTATGCCAAATGCTTGTGCTGACAAATTTCCTGACTGCTGCTGCTGTTAGTGGAGCCCGAGGCCAGAGCAGGGTGCGTGACAAGGTGCACCGTTTCCAAACTTCAGTGCAGATGATCGTTTCCTCCTGTCTGCCTTGCCCAAGGTTGTCGCACTTCTTTCAAACTGTGGTTCTTGCTGTGGCAATTAAAGTGCTCCATGAGTGCTTCGTAACGGCTCCCAATCGCAACCTGGAGATTGCAGGCAGTTTGTCAGCTGGAATACAGTGTGTGCTGGAAGGAGAGTTACAACCAACTAAAGGCTCGCTTTAAAACACTTGCTATGACCTTTCCTCGTATTCTGGCTCAGCTGATGGCCTCCTGCCCCCTCCCCGTGTCTGCTCCCAGCTTTCCCCAGCCTCTTTGGGAAGAGGGCGATGGAAGTTGGTTTAAAGGCAGGGTGTTACAGAGATGCCAGCAGCAGTGGTCAGCCTGACTGTGGCTGCAGACTGACAAGGTGAAGCCAGTGGGTATTTTAATAGTGTGAATAAGCTTGGGGATTCACTTTTGTGCAGATCTTGAATCGGTCTCTACCTACTAAACTCCTTACAGATACACATAACTGAGCAGGTAAACAATTTTTCTCCATTTCGTGGAAGTATTCACTGGCTCAGGCATAATTGCTGAGTGCAGCAGCTGCCTCAGGTCTACGAAGGTAAATGCGACGCCTTCTGTGACAGAGGCATTTCTGAACATGTGCAATTTATCTGGCAGAGTTAAATGGATCTGGACAAATAGTCAAAACAATTATTTGTGAATATTTTATTAGAAAATATCAAAAATTCATCAAATAAATTATTCAGCTTCCATATGACTAGTCCTGCCAATGATAGGGAAGAGCCTCACATGCCAAAACCAGGCTGCTGGGTGGGGGAAGCTTTGAGTGCTGCTGGCAGTGGGAGGCATGGTGCTTTACAGCCTGGCTTAGGAGCGCTTGCCTCCATCCCAGCTGGGGTCAGCACTTGAGCTGCACAGAGCTGGGGCAGGAAGGGTTGCTGTCTCGAGGGCTAAATTGGAGACAGACCCCAGCAGTGCTGTGGGAGAGGTATTTCAGTGCCCTCACCAAACCTTCTAACTCGCAGCCAAACTCAGCAACGTGTCACAAACAGGTCTGACAGTCTCCTCCTTCATGGATGTCTCTTCGGTTTTGTTCGGGTTTTTTTTTTTTTTTTAGGTGAGAGTCTATGACCTCCTGCAGTATGAGCATGGGCCAGATGATGTTCTGATCCTAGCTACTGATGGACTCTGGGATGTGCTGTTAAATGAAGAAGTGGCAGAAGCTATCACTAACTTTCTACCAAACTGTGACCCCGATGATCCCCACAGGTTCGTGCTCATCCCTGATTTTCTAGCTTCTCTGTGGAAGAGTGCTTTCTGGTAATGTATTTTTGTAGAAACTATGATATGAATAACATTCAGTAAATATGGCAACGCTTACAAGAAGACATTATAAGTTGGATGGAGCCTCTACAACAAATGCGGGGGTTTGGAGAGGGTCTGTTATAACTCAGAATTGCGTGCCTTCGAAGGAGAAGTTGTGGGATCAGTATCTTGACATGGCATCCGTTTTGTTTGCTGTACAAGGTCCTGTGGAAACTGTAGGAGGCTGAGGTCTTGCAACAGGTCTCTGTCTTCAGCAGTTACAGGTTTCCACTTAACTCTCCTCTGGATAGTCCCTTAGCACTAAAGATTGTTTCTCACTAGGACAGATCTCTATCCTTCCCCAGGGACTGTTCAGGAAGGGAAGTGTGTGTTGCTCCTGAATTGAGGCCTGGCCGTGGCTGTCTTCTGCCCTTGCCCTGGGCTGAGAGTGGAGAACAGCTTTTTATGCATCCCCAGTTGGCCTGCAGAAAGCGGAGCTTTAGAAATAAGCTCTGGCATACCTTGGCAGCCAAGTAAGAACATGCGGGATGGTGCGAGAACTCAAGTTACGGTTGTTCAGATGTGGCAACTCTTGAGGACATGGGGAAACCCATCTAAAAATGTGTGGTGTTTCTCATGTTTCTAAGTGGTCATCTTCACAGGATCAGTCCTGTTCTTTGTCAGCAAACAAGGAAGATAGCTGCGACACCCTGACACTCACTTGGGTTTTAAAGAGAGAGCAGCTCCCAAGTAACTCGCAAGCAGTAGTTCCTTGCCCTGACACTTACAAACATGGAATGCAAAATAGTGTTTTGCTGCAAGCACTCAGTCTTCAGGTGAATGAGTGGTTAACATGAAGCTGCAACTGCAATATTTTGACCTTCCCCACCTCCTTGCACCCAAGAGGAGTTATGGTATGAATGACAACCAGGGCTGTCTTTACTTCGGCAAGACAGGGAAGTGTCTCTGTCCTCTCTCTGGGAGGAGATCAGGCAGGGTTAACGAGGGGCACTGCCAGGGCATCTGGCAGTGTGCTATGCAGATATGCCATTAATTTAAGGTAGAACGAGATGATGCACCCAACCTACTTTCGGTTATTTCCTAGCACTGTTCAGAGGTGCTACAGAGGTTTTGCTCTCGTTTCTGCACCCCTGAGTCTCCTCTTGCAAAGGTACCTGGTAAAATATAATACCTCTGCCCTGCTCTGTCTCCATTCTCATGCAGTAATTGGGAAATGTTGGCCCTTCCTACTGTCCTCGCTGGTCCTGTCTGTTGTGAATACAGTCTGGGTGTGTTGTGTCTGTCTTGTTCCTTTTGGTCTTTCCAAAGCTGGTGATGGCCACATTTGCTGCAGTAGGAATGGGAATTCTTTGTTTGATACTTTGACTTGTTAGGTGAGTAATTTTTCATCCATTATAAAACACTCATAGAAATCAGAGACACTAAAGGGAAAAAGAGATTTTCTTTATTTCATTTAGATTTGTTTGTACCGGTCTAGCCCCAGTAATTGTGAGGGATTAGTCCCTGTTTGTGCCAGCGTGAGTACAACAGAGTCCGGGATTGGGCCTGCTGTATTATGAGTTAGAACAAACACATTTATTAGTGTTTGACCTACTGGTCTATGAATGGACATCTGAATTGAAAATTAATTTGTTCTTTTAAGTAACTTTGTGCCAGGTCATCTAGAGGCTTACAAATAGTGGTGGCAAGACATTTCTCACGCCAGCTTGCAAAAGGTAATTAGAGCAGTCCCTCATATAGTTTACAGTGATATTTATGAAAATTACCTTTGTGGAATTGCTCTTGCTGCTTGGTTGTAAAGAATATTTAAAGGGTTTAAAGTACTGTGTGAGAGGTTTTACGTAATTACTTCACAGTGGTCCAAATGAGGTATAACTAATGAATTTACAATAGCATAGCAGCTCAGACTGTGGAGCTGTGTTCATTCCTCTCACTAGTCAGTGACAGGAAAATCTTGTTTGCCGTATTATCAGTGTTAGGTTTAAAGGAAATGTTATGCCACAAAATGTCAGGTTCTGTGATGGGTGTAGTGACGTAGTCTGTGGTGAGGTGATCCGCTGGAAATGTGAAATCTCTAGGGATGTAGAAAACTTGTCAGAACGTGAGAGATTTGCCCCCTGGGTTTGGTAGTGCTGTGGTCTTCTGAAGAACCTACCTGTGGAACAGACTCTGGAGCAGCCTGACCCAGTAGCCTACTTATTCCCTGACAGCAGCATTTTAAAAAAAACCAAACAAACAAACAAACAAAAAAAGCAACAAAACCCACAAACATAAAAACCAAAAAACCACAAAAAAACCCAAAGCAAAACAAAAAAAATCCAAACAAAAAAGCTAGGGAGGAAGATTTTAGAGCTGCAGAGTACTTATCTGTTACGTAATTAGCTCTTTGAGGGAACAGCATCCCTCCCATTTGAATTAGCAGTCATTTTATAGCCTGATGGGTAAGAGCTTACAGCCCTCGGCAACACTCTCGGGACTCTCTCCTGCTGATGTTTACTGTCAGAGCTGTGAGTTTTTTACCCACAGAAAAACATCTTTGAATCCTGTCAAACGTAGCATGTGCCTGGGCATCTCCAACTGCAGGGAGAGCAAAGTCCTCAGGTCTGTCTTCACCCAGACATGCAGACGCAGCCTCAGGGGATTTGGGCAGCGGGTGATGGGCACAGACTTGATTAGAGAACAGTTCCTCCGTGAGGGCTGTGATGGAGTGAAGAGGCTGGGGTGGAGCTGGATTTCTTAGCCAGCTCATTTCTTATGGGTATTGTGGCAGACAAGAGCATGAAGGGGACCCTGAGTGAAGAACAGGTGGCAGCGACACACTGCTGCTTTCCATACATCATCTCTCTGAAAAGGTATGAAGATAGAGAAGCATGACTCTTGCCCATTTCCTTCAGCTGCACTTACGCAGGTTTACCCACTGACCTTGGGAATCTTTTATTTCTCGTCCTCCCTCCTGTCCTTTCTCATTCCCTCTTGCACTCTCTCTCACACTAGCTAGAGATTTACGAGGGTGCTGGGGAGTTGCTCCACCTCTTCTAGGTGTGAGAAGATAAGAAGATGCTTAGACAGCAGCACGTTTCCCCCACTGTCACCATTTCTCCTGCAGTGCTTTCACTGATCAATACTGAGAGCTTCAGCAGAAAAAGAAAAAAAAACAACGAATATATTTATTCTTAAAACACAAAAGTTGTATTCCAGCAAGGCTGTTCATTAGGAGGAAGTAGATACTTTAAAACTACTTCAGCAGTTCTCTAATGGTGTCTCGACAGCTGAATCCCACGTTCACAGCGCTGAAGAATAAAGCATTTGGTAATGGACTGCTGCTGCTATTCATTTCCAGGTACAAGAGACTCACCCTATCTCCTCTAGTGCCAAGTTGAACAGCATCGCTCCAATTCAGCTCTATGCAAGGAGAGGAATATGTTACCTCGCTGCTGCCTTCACCTGTTCCTTTTCCTTTGCTTTAATGTGCTGGTTTTCTTATGTATTTCGCAGTCTGTCTACGAGAGAATTTCTGATTTATTAAAATTCCTTTTTTTAATCTTGCTCTCTCCAAACATGAAGCAGCAAAAGCTTTACACAATCAAGAGCAATACTCATTCCTTTGTACTCTTTAGATGTGGGGAGCCATTGTTAATTAGAACAAGGAGGAAGGCAAAGTTTTCTCCCAGAATGATGGGTGTTTTCTTCTCTTAAATTCTGACAATAGCTGAGAAATCCTTGGAAAAGATGTTCTAGCCAAAATGCACTCAGCATCAGACATGCTGTGAATAAATATTCCAGTTTCTCCCTTGCCACGTGGAGTCCCTTTGTTCCTTAGCCCTGCATCTGATTTGGGGATTTGGGAGCTGGGGAGTGCAAGTAGGTACGTTTGGGGTTTTTCCCCTTAGAAAGTACAATTTCATGTTGCATGAGGACAGTACAGGCAGTGCTTCTTGTTACAGCCTGCCATTATAGCTCGAGGTCATTGGTACAGACTTATCTCGGAACCTGCGGACAGTGTGCACGTGCATGTGCAAGCTTGCGTGTTAGAGTTCGTGCCTTGGGCCCTTCTTTTATTGCTAAAAGTAAATCTTTTGTCAAAACTAGTGAGGGCTGGAAATTTTACCACTCAGTACCATTAGGAGCAGAGGGTACATTGCTTCTGTACAACATTATTTGGATTTAACATCAAGCCTTTTGGGTAGTCAAATGTTGGTTTATTTGCATTGAAATCTTTCTAGTAGAGCAAATAAATCTATTCCTGGTTCAAAGGAGTCATTTGAGTTTACAGCACCAAAATTGTAGAAACATAATTGGGGTTTTTTCCTTCGTTTATCCCCAGAGAGTGAATAAAGTCTCTACTGATAGAAATGACCATTTAATAATGCATTCTCCGGTGCAAATTTCTAGGGTTAGAACCGTCCTGGATACTCAGTAAACGCTCCACCCACCCACCCACCCCTGGCTGCTGATCAATGGGGACACTGTTCTTTCCCGTTCCTCAGATGAGATCTGGGCAGATCATCTCTGGCCAAGGATCCTCCCTAGAAAAGAGGGTCTTGAAATGCAGACCCTTCTTGTTCTTTCAGGTTTCTGGAAGCTACAGAGGTGTGCTTTGCTTCTGGTGGTCTGCGTGTTTGGCTTCGTGGAGCCCTGCATCATCTTGGAGGTTGATACTTACGCTTCAGATAAAACACAGGCTGACACAATATTGAACTGTTTTTTCTTGTCAGTCTTTTAACTGTTTGATTAATTTTTAATTATCAAATCATAGAAAAGCTTGCCTCCACCCAACCAAATTCAAAACATCTCAACCAGGTGTCGGACTGATGAAGAAAAACATCTGACAGTAGCTGCTTACCCATAATGAGACTTCTTTCAGAGGAAACTTCTAAATGAGTACACAGATGTGTTGATCTAGTAACGACAGGTAAAATGATAAAGGAGAACGTGTTGGAGCACGTGACAGAGCACTGTCATGCACCACCTTTCGGACTCTGACACCCTTCTGCCCCCAAGCAGCACCTGTTATTTTTTTCAGGACAGAAAATAACTCCCATAAATCCAATGCCGCTCAGCCCAGCACAGGCTGGGAGTTTTGAAGCAACATGAAACTTTGTATTTCACTAAATTAAGCACTCGACAACTCATATTCAAACAGTTTTCATTGAACTCATAGATGTGAGAGGACTGTGGGTCTCTGTTAATCTGGCTGTATTAACTGTAAGTTTCCTTTTCCAGTTTCAGAATAAAAGAGATTTAAAAATCATTCTTACGGTTGAGGAAAACAGACAAGTTAGTCTACTTGGTTTAAAGTGTAATTTGGAATTTATTTTTAGTGCTCTATTACTTGCTTTCAAATTAGTTTCTTTGTAATAGTTTGTCTCTGAAGTAGTCAAGCCATGTTTACCTTCAGGTGTGTCAGTGAACAAGGGTGTAGTTTTCAACAGCAAGTAGTGTTATTTAGGCTCCTCAATTTTTCAGACTGTTGCTAGAAAGCCAATTTGTTAAGGCAAGTGTGTTAATATTTTTCTGAAAACTGGTGAAGCCGAGCACCCAAAATGACCAGTGATCGATTGGTGCCTGTCAAATACCGTTAGATTCTGATGCAGGAGCCGTCACTGAACTGGAACAGGTTGCTTCGTGGATATGCCATGGTTTGTGTTTCTCCTGCCTGCTTCTAAAACACTGGGAAGCTTGTCCTGGTAGCTCGCAACAGTAAATCTGACAGGCTGTGAAAACCCATTTTCCTCACAAAGATGAGCACTCCCTGGCTGTATTCTGCCTTTTCCACAGGTACACGCTGGCGGCACAGGACCTGGTGATGCGAGCCAGGGGAGTGCTGAAGGACCGGGGCTGGCGAATATCCAACGACAGGCTGGGCTCTGGAGACGACATCTCTGTCTACGTCATCCCTCTAATACACGGGAACAAACAGTCGTGAAATTAGCATCAAGAGTGGTTATAGGATGGGGATCTTTTTAGGAAGGGCCTGTAAGAGACTATGTTTTTGGTGATCTGACCAGGACACTCCCAATTGATGTAATCTATTCAAAACTAATGCTGGAGGGGTATTTTTCTGCCCGAAAGGTAGGGCTCTGCACATATACTGTATAGGATTAAAGATAACCCTTAAGATTACAATTTCCCTATAGAAATGGTTTTGGTGCTTAACAGGAATGGGATTTAAATGCTGCTAGCATATTATGGATTCTGTCATCCCTCCAGGTGGGGAATTAGTTTTTGGTTTTTTTCCTCAGTTTACCATGTAGCTTGGAAGAGCTATTTCAGTTGTGAAAGTAGAAGTGGGTATCAGAAGCCAAGGAGGCTCCTGAAATCTACCCCCAAATATTCAGGAGGTGACTTGGGTCACATCTCGTTTAAAAATACCTATATATACATATGTGAGACTAAAGAGTTTTCTTCTTTCATAAAGTTGCATTCATGACTTACCTATGGACAACTTCAAACTTGTGTAACCCTTTGAACCCCCATTTTCCTCTCCTGTCTCTTCTTCAGTAGACTAGACTCCTGTATTTTAGTAGGAAAACTGAAATTGTTTTCAGTGCGACTATGCCTGTTTACTGCAGTTAAAACAGCCACCTGCAAAATTGTCCAGGAGAAATAGGTCACAGTTCTGTATGGCAAGATTTATTCTGGTGTGAGGAGTTATTTTTCAAGATTACCTGTTGTGCGTATACCGTGATTATGCAGAGCACGCCACCGGAGCTTTATGTGATGTTTACCTGGAGGCCATGGTTTCTTTGGGATCAGAGATTTTCATTCATTGAATGGTTCTGCCTGCTTTATCCTGTTGAAAGGATCCCTGACCATACAGCTTTTGCATCAGTTGGGATTCGGTAAACTTATCTGGGCTCCCAAGTGTATTTTTTTGTTGGATTCCTACTTGAAGTGATGGTATGGTTCTTGTTATCAATTTGGATACCCAGATAGCGATCTGTTTAAAAGTTGTTTCACTTCTTCCTGCCTCACCTATTATTCAATATACCTTTGCCTGCTTGACTTGGTGATCAGAAAGTGACAGCTTGTAACTTTGTCCTCTTGGTACTGAGGACTGTAGTCAAAACCCAAAAGATCACTGTGATAGATACAAGCCCTTGGCTAGCTTCAACAGCTTTTTTTCTTAGCAGTGGTAAATCAATTTAAATAAAGAAAATCTGAGTAAAACATTATCAGAGTAAAAGTAATAGTCCAAGAGGGAAACAACTGAGCAAATCTGCAGCGTAATCTGGCTTGCCTATTCTTCAAGCAGGCAGCCCTCCTACTTCATTGGCAGAAATTGAAGAAAAAAAATTCAGAAGGTTCTGGCGTATAGGCAGATACGTTGCCTGGGGAGCCAAGTTCAACCTAATTTACCCCTGGCCCCATTCTTTTGGAGCTGCTCATCTGCCTTGTACTTCTTGGTTAGCCAAAAGATAGGGGGCTGACATAATTGTAGGGCGCTGACTAGGCAGCTCACACACGTTGTGTCCTTTCCACAGGAGAAGGAGGATGCTGTGCCCTTTGCAGACTTTCTCCTGAACAGGCGTGGCCTAGAGCTTGCCAGTTCTGTAATTTATAACGTGCTATGTAAACACCGCGCAGCGTGCGTGTGGTATAGCTGCCCGGATTTGATTGCGTCCGGAAGTACGTGTGCAACAGGCTCGGTGGATTTAAACTGCCCTTGCTCTAAATCTCCAGACCCAGCAGGAGTTTCAGGTTAAGGGGAGGCAATGCAGAGTGTGTAACGGCTCAAACATGCAGCAAACTGCGTGGTTTTAGCCTGAAAACTGTTCCGTGCGTTCCCCAGTGCCTGCATGTCATAAACCTGTGCAGAACACGGATGTTTTATATCCCAGAGCTTCAGCATAAATCAATGGCATATCTGATTATGTGTCATCATGCTTTATCTATTCTTTCCTTATTTTTTATTACCTTTACCTCTTTTTCTGTGTATAGCTGGGTGAAGAGAGAGGTTTGGAGTCTAGAATATTTTTCACGTGGCCCCTCATATGTTTTAAAGTTTAAGCAAGAGATCTTCTCTTGCACTTTCTTTTTTTTTGGCCTAATAAACTTGTAAACATGCTTTTCATGCTCTGTGTAACTCCTGTTGTCTCTTCGCAAATGCAGTTGTGTAGTCCTCTAGCAATTCAGATCCTCTGTCACAAAGACACTAATGCTGGCAGTTCTGGCGGAGTCGTCTGAACAGCAAAGAAGCCGGTGCTTGCTGGTACTAACTACAAGCCTGAGTCAAATCTTGCAGTGCCCATGCGTTCTTAGGCTTTGTTATTTGGTAACATGGTGTCAACACACATGCCAGTCATCATAAAACCACTGAGTACAACGTGGTGGCAATGAATTTCCAGTGTAGCATTTGCCAAAATTTAAAAGTGTAATTTCAAGGCAATGGAAAATGCACCTTCTCGTTCCAGGGGTGTTTTTAAACGTGCCCCTGGAGAGATGGGTTAGCAGAGTGCATGACTTGGTGGGAGCAGGCTGGCTGGTGACTTCTCAGAGCAAAATCTCGTGGGTGCTGGTACGGCTTCGTGAATCAGCCTCCAATGTGTTTGTTGGTCATCTGAGGTATCGCTGTCAGTCGGCCTGCTTCTCTGCAGCGGCTGTGCCCAGGTGGAGTTGTTAGCTGTCACACCCTCTCCTAGAAAGGGTGGAACTACAGTATCAGCAATTAATATCAATTAGCATCAATTAATAAGTTTTGAGAACTTTAAAGGATAATAAAAAGCTTCCTACTCAGATGTATGTGACTGAAACTATGCTGTGATGCTTTTTGTTTTGCTTTTTCATAAAGTATCTGTTATACAATCACACGCTTGCCTCCCTAGAGCGTCTCTGGTACGTCATCTCTGATACGCTGCGTTAGTACTTGGGCTTTCACTTCTGTCTGCTTTCACTGGGAGCTTCTCACGTGCCTGCACTGTGGTCTGTGCTCTGCTTCAAGGCGTGGTATAAATACATATACGCACCAAAGCCTCATATAAATAGGAAGCAGGAGTCATTTATTGGGGAGGTATTCTGTGAGAAGCAAGAATAATTAAAAGCATTTCTGGTTCCCTTTATAGGTTGAATTATTTTGGGAGTCACAACATTAGAAACTACTGATGGCAGGGAGGATCCACGGTGCGCAATACCATTTTTCAGATAGGCGCAGGATGGATATTGCCGTGTGCAGCCTTGCAGCTGCTCTGGGGCTCAGCAAAGCTCCTGCGTTAGGAGCAGCCAGCTCGCCTCCTCAAACTGGAGCAAGTTAGGCACCACATCCAAATTTTAGATCCTTGGCACATCATCTCAGTTACTGCCTGATGCCGGCAGCACTATGGGGTTTTTTTTGCCAGTGAAGTTCCCTTAGTATCCAAAATTGTTTAAGTCTCAGTAGCAAGGAGCCTCAGTCCTGAGTTACACCTGTATTCATATTGCTCTGCGCAGCGCTGTGTCCGTGCCTGTACATAGCCACTGCTTACAACGTCAGGCAAGCTCTTGTCCTTCCTCGGACAACAGCAAGGAAAGGAAATAGTGTGCCGTGTAGTTCACACTAGCCGACAGCGCGGTGTAACCGGGTGCCTAGTCCAGTCCAGTTTCTAGAAACTCGAAATCAAGAAGCTTCTACCAGTCTCCTGTGAATACTGTTGCAGAAGGTAGTACAGCCATTTTGGACGTTTTTCTCTTGCACTACAGCCTAAAATCTTCTTGGTTTAATTTGATGAAGGTAGTAGTTAGAAATTTCATTTACACCTTAAGTGAGGCACACAACCATCTTTTGGTATGTTAATGCAATGGTGCTTTCTTCATGCACACAAAAGCGTATTGTCTGAGAGGGCTGATATTCAGTGGCCTTATGCTGGAGAGAGAGATAGATATTTTTTTTTTTTATTCATAAATTCTAAAACCCAACAGGGCTAACAAGCTAGAGGAGGAGTGGTCAGAGTCTGCTGTTAGCAGTGGATTTCCATGTTAAAGTTACTTCCATGTTAAAATACGACAGGAGAGGCCCGTGAGGTGCAGTCAACTCTGTGCCTTCAGGCTGTTTTTGAAGAACCGCACTTGATGTTTGGGCAGATTTTGGCTTTGGACTTCTGCTAGGTTTTTAAAGAACACTACACACTCCAAGCAAATCTGCTGTGTTTCTTCCTGCCTTGGCGTTTTTATTTTTATTTTACATTTTATGTATAAATACTTTCAACATATTTGTATCAAACATGAATTGCAAACCGTGTGGAACTGTTGTTCCTCCCTGGCATTTTTGGTGTGTAAATAGTGTTCCTCCATGTGTCTTAGATGAAGATACAGCGATGTGGCTGCCATAGAGAGAGTGACCACATGATGCTGTAACTGTGCTGCTGTATTTCTACCTGTGATGTACTTGAAGGAGGATGCCCTCGTCCACCTCCACTCATCCTTTTTTCTTTCTTTTTTTTTTTTTTTTTTTTTTTTTTTTTTTTTTTTTTTTTTAACCATTGCCGGTGGTTTTCTTTCATAGGTGTCTTATTTTTGGTTTGAGATTTTTTTTTTTTTTTTTTTTTAATAGCTGCCACCTTTTTCTTTCCTTCATTGGACAAGTCATCTTGTTTTGAGATCTGTACAACTGTCTAGGTTTTATATGTCCTGAAGAATGGAGGACCTGCTGGAGGAAGATGTTTTGGACCAATGTACTTCTGCTTTGTGACTGTGAAATGTTAATCTTTTTGTAACCTAAGAACAAAAAATGTTTAGTAAAGGAATATATTTTGTGTTTTTTGAAACTTTTCAGTGCAATGAACAAAAGAGGAGGATGCTGAAGAAGTGTATGCGCAAAGTTTTAAAATAAACTTTTAAATTATATATTACATATATCCATCTATATCTATAACCATTATTATTCTGCCTTTGTCCTGAAGAGTCCCTAAGTCTCTTTGTGCGCGTTACTAATGGTGCAATACGGACAGGTAG